TTTTTTTTTTGCTATAGGGCGTGTGTGCTCACCAGACAGAGACATAGAGACAGAAAGCGAGAAATCACCCCCCGAGAGGGGATGGTCACGTCGCAATCCCTTCTCCTCCATTCTCCTCTCGGGATCTTGGGCACGCACGCACACGCGCCCGGCGTGAGTTTTAAGCCACCAAGTCCGGGACACAAACCGCGTTCGACTACGTGGGAGTCCAGCGACATAGCCATTACACTAACTGCTGGTTTTCGAGAGAGTCTTTTTTTTATGAGAAGTAATTTTGAAACTGGAAAGCAGAGTCTTAAAATAGCTGTAGTTAATAACTTGATGACAGTGAAATAGAATAATGATGAAATTGACAAAAGCATTTGGTTCTGTTGCATATAGAACTTTAGGATAAAAATAAAAATTATGTCTGGAATCATTACATTAGGACAATTAGACCCTTATAAATTTTATATAATCTTTAGAGCACTCACATCAATTTAAAAATCCTAAATTTCTTTAAAGCTCAGTTTTCCTAAGCAGTAAAAAACTCAATTAGGACAAACATGAAACACATGAATCTTAGTTTTCTAGCCAGTACTGAAAGGTGAAGAAAAACCTACAGAGTGATTACATATTAATACTTTAAGAAAACCTTATTGTTTTAACACAGGGGACTGACGTTTGAGAATTTAAAAAAATTGTTTTTTTCTGTATTCATGATAGAGCTGTATATGCACATGAGAGAGAGAGAGGGAGGGGAGACGGGAGGTGACCACCTGCTCAGCGTCTCTTCACACCATGACCACCTTCCTGCAGTGCTCCAGTGTATTGGACCCGGGGCACATGCTCATGTGTTTTAGGCTGACTGGGTGGGGAATTTCAACCACAGTTGTCATATGGGATCATGCTTTCCTTGTGTGGGGTATTACTGCTGTGCTATAGACCCAGCCCTGCTTTAGTATTTGTATCAGTAAAATTTTTTTGTATTAAGGCTCAATGGAAAAAAATGACAGATTATTCTCTTTAAATTTCAGTCAACTTAATCACTTCATAAATCTTTGCAACTCTTCTTTGACCCTTTATGACTTACTCCAACTGCCCATGACCTTCTTAAGCCATCAGTATGGCCTATATTCCCCTCTTTCTGTTCTGGAAGATTGTAGTCACTTTAGGAAAGAAACTTCTACCACACAAAATTCTTTCCTATACAAAACTTTTCTCTTTCATCTTAATCTTCCTTACCAAAAATATATCTTACAACTTTCTTTCCAGCTCTTTCTTCCCTACTTACTGTTTTCTTTTTACCTTGTTTTTATTTCCTTCATACATGAAAGCAGTCTTTTTTTTCATTGCCAGAGGGCATGAAATGTGATCATCAGAGAGAGATGGAGAGACAGAGAGAGGAAGAAAGCAACCCCCAATGGGGTAAGGTCATGCTGCAGTTTCTTCTCCATTTCTTTATCTTACTGAGATTTTAGACAGGCACACATACCTGCCTTGTGGATTTTTCAAGCCTCCAGGGCTGAGACTCGAACCAGCTAACCATCTGGGGTCTGGCCCCTTTATTATATTTATTTATTGATTGATTAATTGATTGTTTTTTGCTATAGGGCGCTTGTGCTCACCATAGAGACAGAAAGTGAGAAATCATCACCCATGG